ATCCCTGACGGATGGCCACTCAACTCCTGTTTGCAAACCTCCAAGGAATGAGAGTCGGCCACCTTCCGAGGGAGCCAATTCCACTGTTGAACAGCTCTTTGGGCAACCAAAATGGTCAAAGGCCTGGAAACGATGCCTTATGAGGAACGGCTAAGGGAGCTGGGCATGTTTAGCCTGGAGAAGAGGAGATTAAGGGGTGATATGATAGCCATGTTCAAATATATAAAAGGATGTCACATAGAGGAGGGAGAAAGGTTGTTTTCTGCTGCTCCAGAGAAGCGGACACGGAGCAATGGATCCAAACTACAAGAAAGAAGATTCAACCTAAACATTAGGAAGAACTTCCTGACAGTAAGAGCTGTTCGACAGTGGAATTTGCTGCCAAGGAGTGTGGTGGAGTCTCCTTCTTTGGAGGTCTTTAAGCAGAGGCTTGACAACCATATGTCAGGAGTGCTCTGATGGTGTTTCCTGCTTGGCAAGGGGGTTGGACTCGATGGCCCTTGTGGTCTATTCCAACTCTATGATTCTATGATTCTATGATTCTTTCTGCCAGAAATGAGAACTGACTCATTTCTACTGGGGGAGGAACGGGTATGAAAATGAGAAGAATGGGCTCCCTAATTCCCATGTGCCCAGAGAAGTGCATTGCAAGCACAGCATCTGAGTCAATATTGTGGGATGTGTGATTCAGCAGAGGGAGCTGGCTTGAGGAGGAGGAGGAGGAGGGTGGGGGGAAGAAAGGAGGAAAGAGAAAAAGAGAGAGTATTTGATGTGTTCTTCATCACATCAGTCACCAGGGGTTGTGTCACAGCAGAGAGAGGCAGCTAAGCAGATTAACTGCATCCCCCAGGCTGACCTGAGGTCACAGAAGGTGAGGCAAAAGGCAGGAGAACCGTGGGGCTGACCTGAGCAGGAATGTTGTGGTGAGGTCTGGGGCATGAGGAAGAGGGTGGGGCTTCAGGGAGAGTCACATGGCTGTCAGAGAGGAAGGGCTGCAGCTCAGCGTCAATGCATCTGGCTATGTTATTCCTATGTTCCCCTGTCCTAGGGGAAGGGCTGTGGCTCAGTCGCACAGAATCTGCCTTGTGTGCATGAGGTCCCAGGTTCAATCCCTGCCATCTGCAGGTAAAGGAGGAGTGAAGGGCGAGAAATGAAGTTACAGGGAACCAGGCAGAGGGCCTTCTCGATAGTGGTGCCTGTCCTGTGGAACGCCCTCCCATCAGATGTCAAACAACTGCACAACTTTCCAAAGAAATCCGAAGGCAGTCCTGTATTGGGAAATGGTTAATATTTGACGTTACGCTGTGTTTTTATTATGGTGAAGGCCGCCCAGAGCGGCTGGGGAAACCTATTCAGATGGGCAGGGCATAAATAAATTATTTTTATTATTATTTAAGGTGAAAGGGAGCCCTTTCTGAAACCCCAGAGAGTCTTTGCCAGTCTGATGCAGTACAAAGCAGCTTCCTAGGTTAGGCGGTAGGGGACAGAACCGCAGAGAGCAATTGGCAACCAGGAACCCATGTGGCTTTAGGGCTTGTGTGAGAGGATTTGGGTGCAAGCTTGGTGTTTGAACATCAGCCCTTGTGACTGGAAGGCAACAGAATATCTCCAGAATGGCCAGGCCTGGTGGAAAAACTGGGAACACGTACTTACCCTCCCTGTTTTTTTAAAGCCCCAATGTAAATTTGCCAGCCTTTAAGAGTGATTTTCTCCTTGCATGCAGTTCCACCTCATGTATGCACTGTGGGAAACTGCCATGCCAAATTTGTAGAAGTGCAAATTTCAAAGCACGGCTGTGTTTCGGTTCAAATTTAGGTAAGAGTCGCCTTTCAGCACAAAATCCATTGGAATTTCTCTCCCCTCACTCCAGGCTTAAAGCTCACACTTTCGCCTCCCCTGCCCCAAACCTTCCCCAAAACTCTTGAGTGAGAATTGCATGCATCTGTAGCCTTTTGCACCACCCCAAGAGACTCGTACCTCAGTAGAGATCATTGGGAAAGTGTTAGCAGATGCTAAAATCATCTGCCTCAGCTCCTTAAGCAGGTATATATGAGATTGGCAGGGAGGAGGGCAATCGAGGCAGGAGATGGGATGGGAGACGTATCTGATGCCTCAGTGGAGAGGGTGGAGAGAGAGACGACCAGCAAAATTTGCTCGCTCATCCACAAGCCACCTAACCCTTGAACAGGAGGTAATGACACTGGGAACATTGTAGGATTCTTTCGCTTTGGGGAGGACAACTCCCCCTACCGCCCCGAGACAGTGCCTGGGCCAGCCGCTGCTTCATATTTTACACATGATCGTCAAGAGAAGTTATCCTACTCCTAAGTCTAAAGTAAAATCCCGGTCTGTCTCCTGACAGAGACCTTAAAAAAAAACAACCCCAAGAGTTACTCGGGAGAGTAAGAACAGGTCCTGCTCCAGAAAAAAGCATAATAAATAACCTAACCCTCCCCACCACATCCCACCCTGCCCCACCCCACCCCGAACACCCCGTATCCCAGAATCCAAGAAATCTTGAATTGCTGAGCCCTCTGCGGACATGCATCAGGGAGAGGAAGGATCACAGTCTTTGTAAGGGCGAGCATGCAAAGGAGAAATCCTCTTTCTCTGGAATTGTTAAGTAGGAAATCCATCATGATTTAGGAATATAAACCCACCCACCCCTTATGTGCTCCAGTTAATTGTTGCCTCAGAAGGCTAGCTAGGAGTGACTTTACAATTCTCCCTGGGTGTGTGTGTGGGGGTTTTTTTTTTGTCTTCCTAAAAAAAAATCAAAAATCAAAAACTCATCGCCGGCGATGAGCATCTTCTTCCAAGCCTCACCACTTTTGGCAAGTCTACAGGTGAGGACAGATGTAATATCCGAAAGGTGAAGACAGATGTACTTTTTCAAGAGAAATCGTGGTGGGGATTGTTACTCCTCTATTCACAACAATGGGTGCAAAGTTAGCTGTCTGTTTTTTCTCTACTCCATGACCTTCAGGAAGGTTACACACCTTGTGGGCCATTTAAAAATAAATAAGTTGAGGCACACTTTACAAAATAATAACAACAATAGTCACCCTGTACGCAGAGAGTTAGCACATCAGGAAGAAAGTTGGGCTAGAAACCACACCGACATGCTAGTCTTCCTCGTGCAGGGCATTTGTTTGGATATGGAGAAAAATTCCATTACATGAGCCCCCACCTACCATCAGGAGTGGTACAGCCCAGACACAAGTTAACAACCGCAGTGAGAACTGGGCCAAAGTCATTTTGCAGTATGACTAACAACTGGTCACCCTTAATTTATTCATTCATACCGCCAATCCCCCATAAAGTGGCATTTATAAAACAACAACAGTTACAAAACTGCCTTTGGGACCAGGACTGGAGGCGTCTCATTCACGACGCAGATAGTAGCCAACTGATTTTTATTTTATTTTATTGGCTATAAAGGGGCAGCATTCTCCCTGCCTCACCCGCCGAGTTTGACCCTGAAAAAGAGATGAGGGTACAATTTGCACCAAACATAGGTTGCATCCAACTAAATCCTAGCCAGAGTGGGCCTACTGGAATTAATAGACCTACATTAGTTGTGCCTGTTCAATCCAATAGATCTACTCTGAGTAAGGCTAACGGTGGACACAACCCACGGCGACGATGCTTCCACGCTCTTCTCATGTATGTTACATTTGCCTTCGCCCTTCAAGGATCGCGTCCTCATCTTGGAAGCGGCTGAGTTATGGCTTTGACCAGCTAAGCTTACCTCCCTGTTAAATATTCCATACACACACAGGAAAAGAAAAACCACCTCAAAACAAAACAAAGCAAAAACCAGAGGAAGCCTTTGCCGGCATTAACCTGAGAGCATGTAAGGTGGGCAGCCATGCCTCTCAATCCAAAGAACTGTAGCACATGCAAAAAGGGCACAGCAAACAGACCTGCCGATTGCCCCACCAAACCCCCGTCAACACCTGCTCTGTACGTTAAGTGGGCCAGGAATTTGCGTTTCCAGCCCAAACCAACTGGCTGAGCTTTTCATATGTGTGTGTGTGATCGGCACGCCAAACCATCTGAAAGACACATCACAGGTTGATGGCTAATGCCACTGGGGGGAGAGAGAGAGAGAGAAAGAGAGAGGGGGGGGGAATATGCCCCTTTCAAGTCCCAATCTCGGCTCCCTTTTCACCTATATGTACAATTCCCTCTTCTCTCTGCAAAAGTCTCTCTCCTCCGAACCTTGCTTTTAATTCCTGGCAATGCGGGTTTAAAAACAGCAATCAAACTCTTGGAAAAGTGGGTGAGAGGCGCTTCTTACGCTCTTAGGGCTGACCCACACCAAGCACAGGGCTCCTCCCCAAAGAATCTTGGGAACTGTAGTTGACCCCTCAAAGAGCTACACTCCCTAGCGCCCTTAAACAAGCTCCAGTTCCCAGGGTTCTTCAGGGAAAAGCTGTGTGCTTTTAATGTGCATTCAAAGGTGCTCTGTGGTGTGGACGTGATCCTGCAAAGCCCGCAAGGCAGAACGGGTGTTCTGGCCCTGATCCACCCGCTTCCAAAGTTTGCGTACCTTAAAAACCAGAACCCTCCCCAATTCTGGGACCAGAGGTGACAATTTTACACATATATTTCATGTTAAGGGTTCTTTGCCTGTATCCCCTCTCTCAGTCTCTCTCTTTATCTCTCTTCCGCCTTCTGCGTGGCCATCGGGGCAAACCCACCCATGGGCTTTTGGAATGGAAAACTTCCATCAGCGAGCCCCCCGCCCCCCAGTTGCCAAACATCCCCCCTCCCCCCACCACAAGACACGTCTACAGTTTTGTTTTGTTTCCTTCTTTCCTGGGCTCAGTCAGCATCCTTAAATTTCGACCCAAAAGAGGAGGAGGAGGAGGAGGAGGAGAGGAGGCATCAGGGTTGCGGGAGTCGTCACTAACACTCATCTATGTTAAGGCTGATGAACTCCTGTATACACTTCCTGTACTGGAGCTCTGTGGGGCTGTTGTTCGGATATTGACCTGGATGACCAAACGGGCCCTCGGCTTCTCGCATTTCTTCGTTCATTCGAGCCAGACGCAGCCTGGAGGAGGAGGGAAGGTCTGCTTAGCCATATAAAAGAACACATGTGTATCTGAAGAAGTGTGCATGCACACAAAAGCTCATACCAATAACTAACTTAGTTGGTCTCGAAGGAGCTACTGGAAAGAATTTTTTAAATTTTTTTATTTTGTTTTGTTTTGTTTCGACTACAGCAGACCAACGATTTGTAACTAGAACAAATCATTCATAAAGGTAGACTGGCCACGGACAAATTTAACAATATTTTGAATTCATTTTTATAAGCACTGTATTAGGTTAAATGCAGGTTAATTACAAGAACGACCTTGTAATATTTGCAAGTTCTGGGCTCTTTTTTGGGGATAGTATATGGGTGTCATTTCTTTTTCTTCTTCTTTACTTCTCTTGTTCACTGTTTCTGCAACCCTGGCCTAGACTGCTTAGGCTTTGAAAGGGTCGAGACTCGCAGCAAGCCAGTGCATTGCAGGGGGGCTGGGCTAGATGACCCTCATGGTCCCTTCCAACTCAACAATTCTATGATCAGATCCAGGGGGAAGGCTCTGACATGGCAGAGGGGCCCCACTTACAAGGTAACAATGTCCGCATTAGCAGCCTGGACCGCGATGCTCAGAGGGTCCTGCCCATCCTCGTCCACCGCGTGCTGGTTGGCTCCTCTTTTTAGGAACAAGCAGACCTGGCTGTCAAACGTAAAAAGAGAGAGAAAGAGAGAGTGAGCAAGAGACACAGAGATGTCGGAGAAAAATCACAGCCAACCATAGTAGACTGAGGCTGCAATCCTATTAAGGGTGGACGAACAGGTCAGTTTCCATCTATCTCAGTTTCTCATTCTTCCAATGTTAAGTTGGGTTCTCCACATTTCCACATCAGTGTGTGATTACTATTATTGTTTAAAGTCCTCGTGAAAACTCACTAGCATGTTAGTGCCTATTTCTCCTCATTTTTGCAATGTGGTTTCTCCTTAAAATAATGCCTTTCTGTACATTATGTTGGGACGCGGGTGGCGCTGTGGGTTAAACCACAAAGCCTAGGACTTGCTGATCAGAAAGTCGGCGGTTCGAATCCCCGCGACGGGGTGAGCTCCCATTGCTCAGCCTCCTGCCAACCTAGCATTTCGAAAGCATGTCAAAGTGCAAGTAGATAAATAGGTACCGCTCCAGCGGGAAGGTAAATGGCATTTCCATGTGCTGCTCTGGTTCACCAGAAGCGGCTTAGTCATGCTGGCCACATGACTGTACTCCCTAGGCCAATAAAGCGAGATGAGCGCTGCAACCCCAGAGTCATCCGCGACTGGACTTAATGGTCAGGGGTCCCTTTACCTTTACTTTACATTATGTTCACCAATATTCCTATGCACATTTGAACCCCGTATATGCAGTGTGTGAGTAAAGTTTCTGAATTAGAAGCGGCAACGTAGTTTAATGGTTAGTGTGTTGGACTGTGACCTGGGAGAGCAGGGTTCAAATCCCCACATAGCCTTGGGGCCAGTCACTCCCTCTCAGCCTAACCCACCTCACAAGGTGGTTGTTGTAGGGAGTGAATGGGGAGGGGGAGAACCATGTATGCCACCTAGGAGAAAAGGGTGGGCTGTGAATGCAATAAAATAAATACATAAATAATATTTATATTAGTATGTGATCATTTTCCACACAAACCACCTCTGTCTTTAAATCAAATATTTAAGTAAAACCCATGAAAGTCACTTACGAACTTCCCCCCACCTGACTCAGACTTTTAGGAATTGAATGGGTGAGGCACTAAGCATTGATCGGTTGTGCTTCTTCTATGCCCAAAACCAGTCTGCAAAAATGCCATTTTCCTCTGCCTAGATTTGAAGCTTAGTCAACAAAACTTTATGTGGACTTGTATTCAGAACACCAAATGGCCTACAATTTTTAGGCTCAGATCTCTCCCCATTTATTCTACAGAGGAACAATAATTCTGGAAAACCACCCAACAGGAATAACCCCTGCCTGGTTAATGTCAGAGAACAATTTAGTCAAAATTGGAGCCCGCCAAGACTGGTTGAATTTAAATATTTCAGGCAGGAAGCGCATGGTTTTGCCTGTTGTCAGGTTTTTAAGTAAACAACCGATCTCAGTGTGGTATAGTGGTTAAGAGCGGTGGACTCGTAATCTGGTGAACCAGGTTTGCGTCTCCGCTCCTCCACATGCAGCTGCTGGGTGACCTTGGGCTAGTCACACTTCTTTGAAGTCTCTCAGCCCCACTCACCTCACAGAGTGTTTGTTGTGGGGGAGGAAGGGAAAGGAGAATGTTAGCCGCTTTGAGACTCCTTTGGGTAGTGATAAAGCGGGATATCAAATCCAAACTCCTCCTCCAAACTCCTGAGTTGTCAAAGGCAGCCAGTCAGGGAGATAAAATGAGCCTTTCTCAACAGGTGCACTTCTGAACACATTATTCGAGAGGAGAACCACATTGCAAGATTTGGAGAAGTGTAAATTTCGGCGGATGGCTATGTTTCGGCTCGAGGATTGTTTTGAAAAGTGCAAATTAGATGGGTTCATGTTTATTTGGAGACAACCAAGTGTTATTGGACCTCTTTGAACCCCTCAGCATCCACACAGCTGCATTTTGCACCAATGGAATATTCTGAACAGTCTTCAAAGGCAGCCCCGCATACAATGCATAGCAGCAGTCAAGCTAGGACACAATTAGTACATGGATAGCCAGGTCTGACATATACCAGCTTAAGCTAAGGCACCCCTTCCTGGTAGCTTCGCGCCCTGAATGACTCACCCAGTGTGGCCCAAATACGTAGCGTGATGCAGAGGTGCGCGCCCTCGAATATCTCTTTGGTTAACGTCTGCTCCATTCTGGAGCAAGAATTCGCAGGCTATCAAGGAGCCCTGATGGAGACAATTGGGAGAGAGATCAGATGGGAGAAAGAAACTACAGGAGCACCAAACAGACTCCGGCAAGTGTAATCTGCATCCCTTCTTGCTAGAGAGCCGTGGGAGTTGTAGTTTTCTGAGGAGACTGCTGCCCCCCTACAGAACTCTTGGCACCTTTATCAGAGCTACAATTGCAAGAGTTCCTTAGGAGACACCACAAAAGTTAAGTTTTTAGCAGGTCTTCACAATATGAATCTCTCTTTTTAATCAACTACTATCTATTGCTGCTTTGCTGCTGTTCTTAACTATGTTGTACATATGTGTGTGCGTGTGTATCGATAGATATTATTGTATTTTAATGTTGTAAACCCCCTTGACAGACAGGTTAATCACGGTCCATTAACTTCAGTGGGTCTGCTCTGAGGAGGAGTAATGTGAGATAAAACCCAACATCATTAACAACTTGGGATCCGTTTACCTTTAAGATCACCCTACCCAGGCCCATGCAAAGATTGGCTGAGGCCCAGGGCAGGAGTCTTGTTAGAATAAAGTTATAAACTCAAACAAAAAAAACAGTCAGTCCCTGGAGGCCCCCCCACAGCTGACTTAGGCCTCCAAGGCCCAGGGCAAGTGTACCAGGCAGCTCCCCACCCTCTGCAGGGGGGCCTGGTCTTACCTCCATTTGCTCTACCACTTCAATTGGCGGGACTGGCACTGTCGCCTGTGGGACATAATGCCCATTCTGTATTTGTAAGAACTCGATTGTTCAGTGTGGCAGTGTCTACCCTTTGGAACTCCCTGCCTATTGATATCAGGTCGGGACCCTCACTGTACTCCTTTCAGAGCCTGCTAAAAACATTCTTGCCAACCCAGATGTCTAGAAAGTTGATGCAAGTTTTAATCCATTTAATTTTTCTTAGTGATGAATGTCTCTGATTTATCTTTCTTCATAACCCTCTTTGAGGTTTTATTTATTTAATTTTTAAAAAATCAGGCGGTGTATAAATTTTTACGAAATAAAATACCGCCGCCGCCGCCATTGAAATAGCTGAGGCTTGTTAGCCTTACCCCCATTACGGCTTGGATCAACGGGGTTTTGTTCTCATCCTCATCGTTCACCCAGTTGACATCCGCCCCGTGCGCCAGGGCCTCCGCCATCACAGGCAAATTCCTGGCCCGCGAAGCCTTGTAAACCAGCAAACCCGGGTGCAGCTCCCGCAGGTCCTCCAAATCGGAGGCCTCTTGCTCTATTTCAGCTTCTCCGCTGGATTCTTCTGAAACTTCGCACTCTAACAAGGCGTAGGACGAGAGGCAGAGAAGAAAAAGCCAGCATGAGGCACAGACATAGACCATATGTGATGCTCAGACCTGTTCTCTGGCCTCAATGGGAGCCAAGCCTGCAGCTATGACCTGAACAGCTCCACCCTCTTGTTTGCCTAGGACCACCCTATCATTTGCATAGCCCCGCCTCCTGATTTATTTCCTTGCTTTGCACTGGAGCAGGCATACAGAACCTCAGGCTGGGCTAAGTAGCCGGTGTGGCCCTATGGGCCTTTCTGATTGGCCCTCAGAATTCTCCCCAGGCCACACCCCTCAACCAGCCTGGCTTCACACCCTCCTTGAGTATTTCTGCTTCACTGGAATGTGTCCTTGAGACTTGATGAATGGAAGATAAGAGAGGGGTGTGTGGGTGCATGAGAAGGAGAGGAAGAAAGAAAGAGTAGAAATTGTCCCACTGCACAAAAGTTAAAACAGACACCCCTGGCCCTGCCTGCCCACTTTTGTCCCTGGCCCTGCCCATCTGTGCCATGAGACCCCTAGAAGGTTGCCAGGTAAGGAATATGGCCCTTGGACCGCAAAAGGCTCTCATGTCAGGAGCTCAAATTTATCAGATAATTGAAGTCAGCTATCAAGGACGCGGGTGGTGCTGTGGGTTAAACCACAGAGCCCAGGGCTTGCCGATCAGAAGGTCGGCGGTTCGGATCCCCGCGACAGGGTGAGCTCCCGTTACTCGGTCCCTGCTCCTGCCAACCTAGCAGTTTGAAAGCACATCAAAGTGCAAGTAGATAAATAGGTACCGCTCCAGCGGGAAGGTAAACGGCGTTTCCATGCGCTGCTCTGGTTCGCCAGAAGCGGCTTAGTCATGCTGGACACATGACCCAGAAGCTGTACGCCGGCTCCCTCGGCCAATAAAGCGAGATGAGCACCACAACCCCAGAGTCGGTCACGACTGGACCTAACGGTCAGGGGTCCCTTTACCTTTATCAAGAAGTACTTACCTTCCTCCGTGACGCTGTCCACCACCGAGCCAAACACTAGGACGTCGGTGCTGCCGTCGGTGCTGCCGCCCAGCCCACTGTCACTGCTCAGACCTGCGGGGCCAACAAGACACAATCCAAGGGCATTTTAATATGCGGGGAGGCACACACACACACACACACACACACACACAACAAACATCTGGTACCCAGAGGTATACTGCCTCTGAACGTGGAAATTACACTTTGCGCCTCCCGTAGGGCTATGCTGCCAAGCCATTCCCCCTTACCTCCATCCAGGAGGAACGGCGACCCGCTCCCAGTGGGACCGTTACCACTGTCGCTCCATGGGCTGGCTGCCAGGGGGTGCGGCACAGAGATGTGGTTGCCACCTAAGTGGAAGGTGGAAGGAAGTTGAGGGGGCAGTCATGGTCATAGGCACAGGTGGTTTTTCTGCTTTTTTATTATTTATTTAAAGAAATGCGGCAGTCTAGAATGGATCTTGCTCTCCTTAAAGGATGAATGGGAGAGGGGGACAGGAAAGAAAGCTGGCTAACTGTCCTTTTAGTAACCAAACAATTAAACCCCTGTGTTGCAAACAATCATCAGTAATAGCCAAGGCAACACGATGACCAAGTACAACAATGCGATGTCAATATAAACTCTTTATATAATTTATACAGAACATTGAACAGCATGAAATATATGAAATATGCACTCTCTGTAAAACCAAACAAACAGAAATCTTATAAATCTCTGAAAATCACAAAATATGCACAGATTTATGGCTTGTTTTCACCAGTTAAGAATATGACCCATTGCTTCTTTCAGAGACTTGCATAGTCAACAAAGACTTTCAGAGACTCATAAAACTTATGTTTATTTGGTTCTATATTTTCAAGAGAATCCATCAAGAGTGCATATTTTGTGATTTTCAGAGATTTATAACATTTCTGTTTATTTAGTTTTGCAGAGAGTGCATATTTCATATATTTCATACTGTTCAATGTTCTGTATATATAAAGAGTTTATATTAACTGTCCTTTTAAGCAGGGGAGAAAAAGAAGGAAGAAACCAGTCCCACAAAGCATAAAAAGACTAAGGGGGTAGGAAATGATAAAGGTGAAATTGGGAGGCGGGGGGACAATAGGTTGCGGTGCTTGAAAAATACTTGGGTTCTAGCCAGTGCAGTCCTACTCAAGAGTAGAACTTACTTAGATACAACCCATTGTGTATTTTTTCCTTCCAACCCCACCCTTTCTCAGTCTTTTTGCTGCTGTTGCGACTCAAGATGCACGCCCCAGATGCGGCAGAATGGAAGGGCAAAGTCGCCAGCAAATTCGCCAGCAGCATAGTTGTACTTACTGCGTGGCCCAGCCCCGGCTCCCGTGTCGAAGTACGAGAAAAGCGAATCCAGCTCGTCGGGGCAGAAGAGGGAATCCCGTCGGAACTTCCTCTCAAGGGTGGCAGCTGTGTGGAAAGAGAAACCCTTATGTGTTCCCTGTGTTTGTTGTTTGTGTTCTCACGCACACAACTTGTGCACACATGCACACCCACCCACAATACAGTGGTACCTCGGGTTAAGTACTTAATTCGTTCCGGAGGTCCGTTCTTAACCTGAAACTGTTCTTAACTTGAAGCACCACTTTAGCTAATGGGGCCTCCTGCTGCTGCTGCTGCGCTGCCGGAATACAATTTCTGTTCTCATCCTGAGGTAAAGTTCTTAACCCGAGGTACTATTTCTGGGTTAGCAGAGTCTGTAACCTCAAGCGTCTGTAACCTGAAGCGTATGTAACCCAAGGTACCACTGTATAATACAGGCCATGGTTAAACTATGGAACTCACTGCCATAGGAGGCAGTGATGACCACCAACTTGGGTGGCTCTGAGACAAATTCATGGAGGACAGGGTTATCAGCAACAATGAGTCAAGCTGGCCTGGTTCTGCCTCCACAGTTGGAGGCAGCCATGCTTCTGAATACCAGATGCTGAAAACTGCAAGAAGGGAGAATTTTGTTATGCTGAGGTCCTGCTTTCAGTCTTCATAGGCATCTGGTTGGCCACTGTGAGAAGAGGAGGCAGAACTACACCCAGCAGGCTCTTCTCAGGTCCTTAAATGTGGTAGGATTACAGAATGCGTAACGAATAGCATTATCTGCAGAGTAAGTACTTTGGGAGGTATTCAGCTAAGTGCTACTCAGAGGAGGTTCACTGCAATTAATGAACCAAAGTTAGCTATATCCATTAATTTCAATGGGAGTATTCTGAGTAGGACAGCAACACCACCCTATATCATCCACGAGCCATCTTGTACACCAGTGCTGCTCTTCTAACAATCCAAACAAGTGTGCAGTTTGATGGTTAAGATTAGTGAGGTTTTGAAAGGTTCTGTCCACCATCCTGATGCAAAACGGAAAATAGCTGAAATAGAGCAAAAAATCTGCTCTTGGGATCTTGATGTCTCAGGAACTGCCATGCAGAGTTTAGTTACGCTAACTTAAGAGGTGTGTGGAATGCACAGCAAATGAACAACTTTCAAAAACTATATAGTTAATGTTCCTATATGATTTGCAAAATATATTATTATCAAGCTAAATCTCTGGAAAGTTATTATCTCAGTAGGGCCATTTTCAGAGTGGACAGAGCTGTCCACCTGTCAATCTCCTGACAGTGGTAAGATTGGCGATATGCCTCTGCCTACTGCTTTTTAAAGAGCAGACAGAGGCTCACCTCCAATCTTAGCACTGTTGCCCCACAGCGCTAAGATGAGAAAGTGGATAAATCCTGCCTGCACTTTGACACCCTATAGAATGGTGACATGCTTTAATCTTTATAGGCCATTGGTCCAACCCAGCAGGACCCTTCTCAAACTCTGAATGTGACTTCTGAAAATGCCTAACGTGAAGTAAAAAAAACAACAACATTGTGTTACTGAACTGAGCCACGGATGAACCATCCCTTCTAAGAGACGGCACATGCAGAAAATAAGGGCTGGTGTGGCAAACAGCAGTTCCTCACCTGAAGAGTGTGCTGCCGGTGATGCGTTTCCTGCTTCGTGCCGGTACTTCCTCCGTGCTGTGGGCGCTTTTGTGGAGCTGTTGCGCCTCTGGCACTTTTTCACGCTCCAGCGCCGGGGTTTCCTCTCATTCTCCGCCAGGGCCTCCCCAGTCGACAGCTGCTTCAGGAACTTCTTCTCCACGTATTTGACTTTGATCCATGCTTCTTTGTCCTGCCTGAGAGGGAACTCAGTTTCATGAAGAGCTCCTTCAGAGCACCTGTTTGGTTCAGCATCCATCTTGATTTGCTTGCACAAAGCTGATGCAGAGGTTAGGCTGAGCCTTTGCTCTGACTTGTTTATGGGGCTAGGCCACAAATAGATAAGAGGGTGCATTGGGATCTACCAGCTGATCTCAGGGTTGAATATCAGTGGATCAGAAAGAGTTTACCTCCTACTGGGTTAACAAGGTCAACAATGAGAAAGGGAGTCTGTTCCACTGTCGAACAGCTCGTACCGTCAGAAAGATCTTCCCGACGCTTAGTCGGAATCTCCTTCCTCGTAACTTGAAGCCACTGCTTCACATCCCAGGAGTAAACAAGCTTACTCCATCCTCCATGTGACAGCCCTTTAGATATCTGAAGATGGCAATCATCCCTCCTCTCAGTCTCCTCTTTACCAACAATCAGCTCCTCAACATCCATAAGGTAGTACTCAATAACACCTGGAGGCCTATAGGCTCTCCATTTCTGGTCTACAGGGTATTGTCCTTCAAGAAGGTCTTCCTATCCTACACATTGCAGAGCGGAGAGGAGACAGCCATACCTTGAGCTGCCCGCGGTGGGCTTCTTGAGTCCCAACTCCTCGCACTGCGCCTCGTAGATCTGGTTCATGGTGGCGTTCCCCAGCTCACACATCAGCTTTTAGGAAAGCAAGCAGAAACACAGTATGTTAGGGGGAAGAGATGTTCTCCTCCCCCCGGCCGCAGCCAACTGCATTTACCCACAATTAGGGATGGCTGACTCTGTCAATTTCGGTTTCTGTCAGTTTCTGGTTTTCCCCAACAACAAAGAAATTTGATCCAGTTTCTCATTTTCCCCAGTGTTGAAGAAATTTGATCCAGTTTGCGTTTAAAGGCAAAGTCACCGAATTCACATATTGTCAAACAATATGGAAGAATATGTTGAGGGAAGTTTTTAATGTTTGATGTTTTATTGTGTTTTTAATATTCTGTTGGGAGCCGCCCAGAGTGACTGGGGAAACCCAGCCAGATGGGCAGAGTATAAATAAATTATTATTATTATTATTATTATTATTATTATTAAGCAGAAACACAACCAACCTTTGAAATCCAAATTTTTCAACGCAGTCCTCAACAAATGAAATGTGTACAAAAGAAGGCACACATATATGAATACAATTTGCATTCAAATGCATACATTCATGAAAACAACATTTTAAAAATCATTATTTTAGGAAAAATAGGGTTTTGCAAAAATTGTGTCAATTAGGGAAAATGCAAAATGTGTACAGTGGCAAAAATGAGCATAACATGTTGATGAATTTTCATGAAGACTTTATATAAAAAAATAAAGATTACAAACTGATGTGGAAATTTGGAAAACCGAACTTACGACCAGGAAAATGAGAAACTGAAATCCCATCCCTAGCAGCTAGATCAAGGATAGCCAACAGATGTTATGGGAGTACAATTCCCACCATTCCCAGCTAGCATGGCCAATGGACAGGGACGATGGGAACAGTAGTCCAACAAAGTGCACCAGAGAGCTCCCGCCCCACCCCCTCAAGAGGTGCATCCCATACAGCACTGGCCGCCCCCCTCCCACCCACTAACCCTTCCTGCCTACTACCTATTTGTGATTCGGAGTTTTGGCCTCTACCTTCAGTAGCTCTGGCTCCCAGGAATCCAGTGTGAGCGACCGCACTTTGGAGCAGTGGACCCCTAAGCTCCTGTAGGGAAGGGGAAAACAGACAAGAGAGGAGAGTGGTTGTACAGTTCAACAGCTGTTTGGTACATACACACACAAGGTGGCACGTATTAATCAGCACGTCCAAAGGATTTCTGCACATGCAGCCAGTCTAGTACAGGGTCAGTGGTTAGAGCACCTGTTCTGGGTGCAGGTTCTATCCCTGGTGCCATGGAGGACAAGAGTATTGATGGCTACTAGTCGTGATTGCTATGTTCTGCTTCTTCTGGCAGAGGCATTATGCCTCTGAATATCAGCTGCTGGGAATTTCAGGTGGAGAGGGCTACTCTTGCGCTCATGTCCAGGAGTAGATGGACCTGCTTTGGCCTGATCCAGCAGGCCTGTCTTATGTTCTTATCTCTAGGTAGAGCTAGGAGTGTCCCTTGTCTGATATCCTGGAGAACCCCTGCCAGGATGGAAAGATACATACTACAGAGGAACGGCTGATAAAATTACTGGAAATAAAAAAAAAATTGTCCAGTAGCACCTTAGAGACCAACTAAGTTTGTTCTGGGTATAAGTTTTCGTGTGCATGCAGACTTCTTCAGATACACATACACACGAAAGCTTAAACCCAGAACAAACTTCATTGGTCTCTAAGACGCTACTGGACAATTTGTTATTTATTTTGACTGCGTCAGACCAGCACAGCTACCTACCTGAATCTAAAATTACTGGACTTAGCTGAGATGGCAAAGTTAACATGTTTAATTGGAGAAAAATCACGACTAACATTTATTAAGGATTGGATTCGGGGCTTTTTGCGTGAAAGAGAAAATGAACTTGTAACACCTGATTTGAAGAGTGAAAAAATAAAGGCTTATAGAAAATACAATAGTTGGGTGTTAATGAGCGAATACTGTATTTAGATGGCAGACAAGAGAACCGGAAGTCTTTTTATCTTTTTTTCTACTTTATTTTCTTTCTCTCTCTTTTCTTCTCCCCCCCCTTTCTCCCCCCCCCCCATTTTTCTTCTTTTTGCTCCTGTTCCTTTTAGATTAGATTTTTTAAAATATATCTTCTATTCTGGTGTATTATGAAAACATACTTTGTATTGGGTATGAACATTTGTATATCAAGTATCGATAAAAATACCAATAATTAAGAGGACCCCAGCCAGTCAGTGTAGTCAATACCAGTGGTCTGGACAGGAAAGGCATGCCATTGCTCTTTTTGTGAGTTTCTCAGAGGGCTTACGGCTGGCTTATTGGAACAGGATGTTTGAACTGATGGACCTTCGAGTCCAACAGAGCAGGGCTATTTCGTTGCCCTTGTGCCCTATTTGCCGGGATCAACTCAGCAAGCTTACCTGTGAATCCCTGAACATTCAATGCATAGTAAGATGCCCAAGTTGATGCTGGCCCAGCGGGGGTCGGCTTGCCCGCAGTCACAGCACTGGTCATTGCCTGGGATGCTCTGCACCCTCTGCAGGATGGTTTCGCCTTTGGCACTGCGGTCCCGAGAGTCAGTAGCCGAGTCGATGCTGCTGGTGGAAGGAGAAGCTGTTCGGTCCAGTCTCTGGAAAGAGGTACAGAGGGGGATTGAGCAATGAAAAAATTGCCTGCTGGTGTTTCTTGCAGCCTTGGTCCAGTATATCTGAAGGAGCATCTCCACCCCCATCGTTCTGCCCGGACACTGAGGTCCAGCGCCAAAGGCCTTCTGGCGGTTCCCTCACTGCGAGAAGCCAAGTTACAGGGAACCAGGCAGAGGGCCTTCTCGGTAGTGGCACCCGCCCTGTGGAACGCCCTCCCACCAGATGTCAAAGAGAACAACAAGCACCAGACTTTAAGAAGACATCTGAAGGCAGCCCTGTTTAGGGAAGCTTTTAATGTTTGATGCATTACTGTATTTTAATATTTTGTTGGAAGCCGCCCAGAATGGCTAGGGAAGCCCAGCCAGATGGGTGGGGTATAAATAATAAATTATTATTATTATTATTCCAGTAGTGGCTGGTTCCCATTGAGACTGGTAGGGCAGAGGGCAGGGAGCCCAACAGTAGGTGGCGCCAGAGCCAATGACAGGCAGAGACAGAGCATTGGCAAGAGGGGCTACCCTCAGATTGGTTGTAAGTCAGAAGGCAGGTAGACAGGGGCTGGCTGAGAGCAGACTGAGGTTGGTGGGGCAGTGCCCCCTTTGCCCCAATGAAATGAAGCTCTTTTTCCATTTGCCCCAAGGAAATGAGGCTCTTTTGCTGTTTGCATCCTCCATGATGCAAAATGAAAGCGTCTATGTTGTGTAGTTGTTAGAGCATTGAAGAAGAACCCAGGAGACTGAGGTCCAAATCCCCACTCAGCCATCAAGCTTGTTGGGATCAACTTGGGCCAGCCACTGTCTCTCAGCCTAACCTACCTCACAGGGTTGTTGTGAGGATAAAATGGGGAGTGGAGAGTACTTTGCATGCCACCTTGAGCTCCCTGGGGGAAAAGTAGGATAGAAATGTAAGAGAATGATGTCAATGATTATCTTATCATCATCATTCTTATTGTTCAACTTGCAATTCAGGGGACAGAATACAGAAAATTCTGTTCTACTGCAGTCTATCGCTTGCAGAAATGCAACAGTGTCAGTTACCCTATTTCAAAGAGTTAAGATTCTCCCACAGATGAATTGCATGTTACCTTCCATCTTAGTACTGTAGAAGCATTACAGGCACTCACAGTTTCTGGCATGTGCAATGAAACTCTACCACCAGATGGCTCTACAGGCTAATTCCTAGAAAAACACATTTGGCTTTATGTTCATTATCCTCCTACCATTATTTTTCCCTGCTCTAGAACTGAGTCAGCCATTCATTTTTAAGAGGATGCTTAAAAAAAGAAAAAAAGAGGGGCATGCCAAAGAGCCAGTGCAAACCAAGAGAGGTGAGCAGTGATTCCTGCATTGTAGGGGGTTGGACTAGATGATCCTTGGGATCCCTTCCAACTCTACTATTCTCTGAGAGGCAAAGGGATCTTTAACGCCTCCTACCCCAGCTTGTGAACAACAAACAATGGATTAAGCAGAGGTATGATTTTTTGACTTTTTTGAGAGCCAATTTTTTGAGATTTTTTGAGAGCCGAACAGGCATCAAAAGCAAAATGCTGGTCTTCACGAGGTGCGTGTGCTCTGGTCTGACAAATTGCAAATAAATATTTAAAGTAAATAAACTTACCCTAGAGGTGTCTTTAAACCTTTACTGTGAATTTTGTCCACCTGGTCACCCCGGTTGGGATGTTTTCATATCAGATACACATTACTGAACTTGGAAATGGCAACTGCACTTACTAGGTGGGGTAGACACCACAACTGGCGCCTCTTTCTCTCCCCGTACCCTGATCTCACTTCAATGTAGGGATGATGGGGGAAGGGGGGAGAGATTCAATTCAGTTTGCATTGATAAGCGAACCTACCTAATTCATGTTTTGCAAAGCAATGGGCAAACCGAAACACAGCCATCCTTTGGCATTTACACTTTTCCAGATTTTGCAACGCAGCTCTCCTGCCAAGGAATTTGCTCCAAAAAAAATGCATACACTCGGGTGAAGCGTGCATAACGTGGCACATATTGGTGAAAACAGCATTGAAACATACATTACACCGGGAAAACTGCTTTGCAAACATGTGGCAAAATTGCATGCAAATTTAGAAGAAATTTGGGGGTGTTATTAGGTTATTGTTATTGTTTTGTTTTTATATATTGTGATCTTTTCTGTGAACCACCCTGAGACCTCCGGGTATAGGGCGGTATATAAATTCAATAAATAAAAAAAAATAAAATAAAAAAAATGTTTAAAACGCTGAATTTTCACAAGGACTTTTTTTATTTAAAAAATCACAAACTGATGTGGGAATGTGGAGAATGTGGGAACATAAGATTGGAAAAGGGGGGGTGAGAAAGTGACAGAAAAGAAAATCACATGTCCTTACTTCAATGTAGCAGCTGTCGGGACTCTCTCGATAGGCAGAGGCGATGCTAGCTTGAACTGCTTGGATCCACGCCTGCCGCAGTTTCTCTGAATCGGCCTGCAGCATGCAGCTCCTGAAAGGGAAGAAGAACCAGGCTAGGGCTGAGCATCAGTGAGAATATCTCAGTTAGCAGAGCACGAGACTCTTGATCTCAGGGTCGTGGGTTCGAGCAAAAGATTCCTACACTGCAGGGGGTTGGACTAGATGACCCTCGTGGTCCCTTCCCACGCTACCATTCTATGATTCTAGTCGAAAGAGCAGGGTGTGCTTAAGCCCGGAGGAGACTGAGAGGGGACATGAACAAGCCCTCTTCAAATACCTGAAGTGCTGGTTGCGGAGATGAGAACCAGTGTGGGCCTTGAGAGAACAGGGTTCAAACTTCCTCGGAGGACAGATGGAAAATAAATGCCACACATAACTAAACAACCAAAAAAGGGCTGTTGTTAACACACCATGAGGGCAGCAGCTGGCTGTACCCGATGCACACATGCCTTGGAAAGATCGACTTCCCCATTGTGTGACGGAACATCAAGCCAAGGAATTAAAACACTGACTACCCAAAACGTTTATATGGGAATGGAACAGAGACAGTGCTTGGTAATGGAATCTGGTGTGTGGACCATCCTGAATTGGACCATTTATCCAATCTGGGTCATGATCTGCTCCTGGACTGGATCAGGAAAGTCCACTTTGGAACCTGAGTAGACATTGCGTCTTGCTTGTGGGCTTCCTGCAGGCATCTGGTTGGCCACTGTGAGAACAGGATATGGGACCAGACTGGCCTTTGCTTTGGGCCTTTTATAAAAGCTCCCCTAAAATTTATAAACATGCAGATCTCTTAAAATGGGCCACACAGCACCTAAGTAAACAATGGAATCTGCTACTGAAAGATGTAGTGATGGCCACCAGATTTGGGGGGGGGTTATAAATAATAAAATAAATATATTATATTATTATTATTATTATTATTATTGTCACCAGCTTGGATGGCTTTAAAAGAGGATGAGAAAAATTCTTGGAGGAGAGGGATATCAATGGCTACTAGCCACAATTAAAAGAGAGCTGTTACAGACTTCCCTTTGGGGAATATGGTTGGCCACTGTGAGAGCAGGAAGCTGGACAAGATGGAGCCCTTGGCCTGATCCTGCAGGCTCTTCTGACCTTGCTCTATGCTTCGCATACAGAAGGTTCCAGCATCTGCCAGCAAGTCTGGGAGAGAACCCTGTCTAAAATCCCAGAGAGCCATTCAGTGTAGAGAACACTGACCTTTGTGGGCCAATGTTCTCACCTGGCCTAAGGCACTTCCTGTGTGATGGCGCTGTAGAAATAGAATAGTAATAATACAGTTGTGCTTTGGAAGTTGAACGGAATCCATTCCAGAAGTCCATTCGACTTCCAAAACGTTCAGAAACCAAAGTGCAGCTTCCGATTGGCTGCAAGAAGCTCCTGCAGCCAATCGGAAGCCACGGAAGCCCCATCAGACGTTCAGCTTCAAAAAATAGTTCGCAAACCGGAACAGTCACTTCTGGGTTTGCGGCGTTTGGGAGCTACAATGTTCAAGAATTAAGCTGTTTGAAAACCAAGGTACGATTGTAATTATAACGCACTGGAAAAGAAAGAAAGAGGAGACTTGCACAACGTACTTAGTGGGGGAGACGACTTCAAAGCAAAACCTCCGCTCGATGTCTTCGCAGGGTTTGACGGTGCAAAGCCTGAGGTCCTCCACCACCACCGTGAGGACATCCTGAACAGATAAAAACAGAGTAAGGGAGTCAGTGGCATTGCAATGTCCCACCTGCGGCTGCAAATACGCAAGTGTGTGGAAATGGTTACGTGTTTTATAAGCTGTCTTGGTTTTCCTTGAGCTTCCAGACCAGAGGCAGGGAATCCTTTCCAGACAGAGGGCCTTATTCCCTTCTGGAGGGGGGGGGGCGGCCCTACATGCCAGGGGTGGGTGGGGCCAGAGGCAAAAGTGGGTGGAGCAATGAATAGAAACCTTACCTTTCTATAGGTGGCGAGTTTCTAAACACACACACACACACACACACACACACACACACCTCTATCTTCTGCCCAGGCGAGCGAGAGAAATGATCAGAGTTCAAGGACACATTCCAGGCAGTGGAAAACAAGGGCAGTGAGGGCTGTGGCCTAGGGAGATTTACGAGGGCCAGGCAGAGAGGTTTGGAGGGCCAGATTCAGGCCCCAGGCCTGAGGCTCCCCTTCCCTGGTCTGAAGCCTTAATGTTGCGCTGGAAGGGGAAGAAGAGTGAGGTGGGGTCACTGGGTGTCGGATAGGGAGCCCCCATGGGCTGCTACTAGCCCAAGGGCTCATGGTTGCACACCCGATTGAATGAGCATACCAACTGTAGCATACCCCACATGTTGACAGAAATACAAATAAGGACTCCCTCAGCAAAGGAGACAATAAAAGCTGAGTTTTCCATTTTTCTGAAAAGAATGAGCTGGAGTTCAAAGCACATGCTGTTTGCTTTGGGGGGAACTGATGCTGCTACCATTTTTATTACCTGGCCTGAGGCTTCCACAAAAGACAAGGGATACACTCCCCCAATAAATAAGATATGGTGGTTTTTTAAAGTGTATGTTGCCCGGGGCTTCTCAGAAAGGGGTAGCCACAAATGTGAACAGTTATAATAAGGCTGTTGGAAGATTTGCCTTAAAAATATTATTTTCATTTTGGCCCTAATTTACGTGGCATGCATAGGGGTAAAGCAGAACCATTAGATTCTACTCTGGAAAATTTAGAAGACACCAATACTGAATTATTATTGCGATTGTTATTATTAGATATATTACCCACCCTTCACCAGCAGGTCCTAGGGCAGGTAACAACTAAAATTCAGTATAAAAAGCAGTTAAGACAAATCACAGTCACAGGAATAGGGCAGGTCCCTCAAAACACACACGTCAGACATCAAAGGACAGGGTGAAGTGAGGCATCTTCAACAATCGCCAAAAGCTGTATGGTGAAGAAGCCAGAAGCACCCTCTGGGGGGAATCTCACCCACCCAACTCTTCTCTGTGCATGTACAGTGTCAGTTGCAGAACCAAAATTAAAAATGGATTCTGCCACTGGCTCTGAACACATGAAGTGTGGAGTCATCCAATCTGTCCGATCTCTCATCCTAGTCCGCATAGGATGGCTCGACAATCCCCTGAACAGTAAGACATCAAGAGAAGCCAGCTAATCCACTAATGTCATCAGAGGCAACCTGTCTGACCTTTAGCTTCTTCTGGTAGACCAGCTGGCTGTTCTGTATGGAGAACCATCTCCTGAGGAAGAGAGAAAGAGAAAGAGAAAGAGAGAGAGAGAGAGAGAGAGAGAATTGAGAAAGGGGGTGAGGATAAATTTATTTATTTATTTATTTATTTATTTATTTATTTATTATTTATTTATTTATTTATTTATTACATTGACATATTCCAGCTTTTCCTCCATTTTATCCTCCCAACAACCCCCATTTTATCCTCCCAACAACCCTATGAGGTAGGCTAAGCTGAGAGACTGTGGCTGGCCCAAGGCCACCCAGTGAGCTGCAGTGAGTGGGGATTCGAACCCTGGTTCCTCAGATCCTAGTTCTACACTCTAACCACTACACCACCACAAAAGTCTCTCCCTCCCTCTCTCCCTCTCTCTCTCTAGTGGTCATGGCTTTTCTGGAAACACACTGGTCCCAACGTACCGGTTCCAGGTCTTGAACGCGTTGCTCGCTCTCTTGAAGAGGTACCCTTCCATCACCACCCCATTGGGGGCATCGACGTTGAATTCCACTTTGGAGTCATCGTAGGAAAAGTCCTATAAGCCCAAGGCAAGCAGAGATGTGCCATCAACAGGGATGAGTGAATCTGTCAGTTTTCATTTCTCTCCGTTCCTCCTTTTTCCCACTCTTCAGCTTGCCATATATACACATCAGATTGTGATTTGCTTTTTAAAAGACAAGTCCTCATGAAAATTCAGCAGCCTCTTACCTCATATTTCTCCTACGAGATGCATCTTTGCATGCGATTCTGCCTAATTTGCTCAAAGCAATTTCCCCTAATAATACTGCATTTTTATGGGCTGCCTGCACTCTTTACACCTCATGTGTACATACGACTTGGCTTGAGAACTGCACTGCAAAGGTTGGAGAAGTGTGATTCTTGAAGGATTATGGTTTACTTCTTCCCAAACTCTACATGTGGCCCTCCTATATTTTAAGGGAAGGGTTCCAGATCAGCGCCAGTGCAGTTGCTGTATGTTGTTGCTGTTAAAATTTCTATACCACCCTAAATCTGCAGGTCTCAGGGTGCGTCGGAAAGTCCCAGATTCACTCCTCGGCATCTCCAGGTGGGGCTGGGAGAGGTTCCTGCCTGAAACCCTGAAGAGTCACTGCCAGTCAGTGTTCTTCAACCTCGGTTTCTCATATGTTACTGGACTACAACTTCCATCATCCATAGCCAGCTTAGCTAGGGATGATGGGATCTGTAGTCCGCCCGCACATCAGGACTCAGGTTTGAAGAACACTAGTGTAAACAATACTGAGCCAGGTAGCCTGACTTGGGATAAGGCCACTTCCTCCATCCCTGTGAGAGGACGGGTGGTCAGGCTTTGGGCCTAGCCATTTCTCATTTGAGAAGCCAGCCGCTGAAGAAGTATTTTGAACTTGGAGCTTTATTCAAAGTTTTGGTGTTAGACATTGCACCACCGCCTCCCTTATCTGTGAAACAAATGCCACCATAGATGACAGGAGGAGGAGCACGGTGGGGGAGACTTATAGGCCAGGCCGGCTTCTGTTTAATTGGAAGCTCCCTGGCTCTAATTGAGCGCCAGGCTGTCTTTCTGAGGCCATGACTCATCCCACTGCATCCCTTCATCTCCTGTCCGCCTTCTTCCCTTTATTATGACACCTTCCTGGTGAGCCAGCATCCCCCAGCATGGAAATAACTCATCCTAATGAGAGTGAAGTGCATGTTGCCTAGCAACCAGGCTTCGCTGGGGCCTATAATGCGCCGAGCGGGCAAAAAGGCACTTAAGTTAATGGTTGCCGTTGCCTTGAAATTTGTCACTGCTCTGTGGTGCTGGGCCTTAAAAAAAATATTAAGTAGTGTTGTGGGGATATAACACACCCTCCAATTCAAGAGCGAACAATGGGGTGGGGGATAATTGGTACTGCGAAGACCCAGCCTCAAATTGTTAGTCTTTATTATCTGGTGACATTCACACCTTACATTTAAAGCACAGTGCTATATCCTGGGAACTTTAGTTCACCCCTCACAGAGTTTGAATCCATCCCTGGCACCCTTAACAAGCTACAGTTTCCAGGATTTTTTGTGGGGGACGGGGGACGGGACCATATGCTTTAAATGTTTGGTGCGAGTTTGACCCCAGACGCAAAGCATGTTTCTGTTCTGCACTGCAAATTAAACTAGTTCAAAAGCACTTCCCTCTCTGCAGGGAACTGTAGTTTTGGGGTTTCTTCTGACAGGATTGTCTGCACGCGTGTCAAAACTGCAGTACTCAGAATCCTTTGGGAAAGCCGCCATTAATCCATGCAAATTAATAGGCAATTAATGTGGCTCATATTATGACTCTAGTTCTTTATTTAAAATCTTATGTTTACATCCTCCCAAACCCACACCATCCTCACAGTCCTGTGGACCAGACCGCTAAATATTTTGTGGCTGATCTTCCAAGTCATCTCAAGGCAGATTCCATACAACACCACAGAACAAAATTTCCGCAAGATTGTGCGAGTTAAAACCTCCATCGTTGCTCTACCAACATTTCAACCAGGTCAACAGCCTTTTTAAGCAAAGACTGCCGAAAGTGGAACAGATTGTCTTGGATGTTGGTAGACTCTCGTTCATTAGAGGCTTTTGAGCAGAGGAGGAAGGGATGGGCATCACCCTCTGCTGTAGCAAGGCAAGTGAGGACTTGTAATAATATAAGAGCCCGGCTGCTGGATCAGGCCAAAGGCCCATCCAGCCCAGCCTCTGTTGTCACAGTGGCCAAGCAGATAGAATCATGGAGGCTAGAACACTTGCTGGAGAAAAAGGTGACCAATTAATAACAATCACAGAATGGTCAAGTTGGAAGGGGCCCTGAGGGGCATCTCGTTCAACCCCCTGCAATGCAGGAATATATGCAGCTGCCCCATTTGGGGATCTAACCTGCAACCTTGGCGTTATCAGCACCACACTCTAACCAACTAAGCTATCCGGGCTCTTGATGTCTTTGGGGAGCCCAGAACACCACTTTTGATTCCCAGTAACTGGTATTCCATAGGTGCTACTGCCTGAAACAGAGAGGCAATGCATGATCCCTGTGGCTGGTAGCCATTGATAGCCATGAACCTGTCTAAAATCCATTCAATGCCATCCTAGTCGGTGGCCATCATTTCAATGGATGCCCCCCAAATTCTAGTGTTATGAGAGAGGGATGAAAACATCTCCCTACTCACTTTCTTCACACTGGGTGCCAGCCAACTTAAAACAACTCATCACGCGGTATAAACTGTTCTTGGACTGTAGGTGAGGGACCACCCGACTGAATGCTCTTTGGTAACAACCTCATTAGGAAGAAGCAAGCGTCAAACATGTGAGAGAGAAGAGAGGGGGCAGGCTTGCTGGCAGCTCAATGCTTGCAATGCTGGTGGGGGTTGAAAAAGAATGCAATGGAGGAAACACACAGAGGAGGAGATCGGAGCAGAGACGGTAAGGACTAGATGCTTGAAGTTGATTGCGAAAGTATGGCAGAGAGCCAACGCTGGAAGAGGGAGAGAGTGGAGGTCCAAGCTGAAATCTTTGATGTGAAGAAGGACCAAAGATTTGATATTGCAAAGCTGAGGCTTAAAGGAAGCAGGCCGCCATCCAGAAAACACACAGTCAGAATCTCCTGCCAAATGCCCGGCTGTCATCTGTCCTTGCTTTCATGTCATATCAATAAATGTCATGCCAGCATGCACACTCACACACACAGAGAGAGAGAGCGAGACACTTTCTCTACTCCAGGCGATCTCTGCTTTTCCCTTTTCCATACTGATTTGAATTTATATATCCAAGGGTGCCTAGCCTAGCAATGAAAGCTTTTTTTTATTATTATTCAAAAAGAGCCACCGGACAATGGTTTCCTTGGGAACCCTGAATGCCCCCTACAAAGAGGCACCAAACTCCCAAAGAGGCAAGCAAGTGGCTCCTTCCCACTGTTGGGATGGAGATGGTTTTGGTGCCTGCCCTGCCTTCAAAATACAGCTACTTTCAAACTGGCCAATGATGAAGCAGGAAACAAAACCAAAGAACAGAGGCACAAATCGCCTGCAATGGGGAAATTTAAAAGGTTCACCATTCTGTATTTCAAATGCAGGCGGTGGGGAACCAGAACTCTTCGCCAACGCATTGCTAGGGTCAAACAAAATAAACAAAGCAATGAAATAAGTCCTGGAGCAACTGATGCTTTTTTGTTGACTGGAGTGCTCAAATATTTTGGGGTGTGTGTGCCTCTTATCACTTAGCCACCTGCCATTTTGATGTTTGTTTGTTTTTTGTTTGTTTTTTAAGGAAATCACATAGTTGTTTGTTTGTTTTTCTAATTGAAATAAACAGAAAAAAGGCTTTAAATCAACAAAGCGCCTTAGTACAACTGTATACCATTTTTAGAAGGCCATTGGGGTTAACGGGTGGGGTGAGAGATGTCATTTGGTTAAGTCTAGGGACAGAATAGGGGAAATTGTGGATTTCCTCAAAGGCCTCCCTTGGGGTCTCAAATTTCAGTGGCATCTTGAACTATGTGAAAATCTGGTCCGTCCACCCCCCCCATTCCAAATCATAGTCGTAAAACATTGGAAGCCTCCTTTCAAAGAGACAGACTGTGGGTCCATCTACCTCAAGGGTCAGCAAACTTTTTCAGCAGGGGGCCGGTCCACTGTCCCTCAGACAGTGGGGGCCAAACTATATTAGGGGGGAATGAACGAATTCCTATGCCCCACAAATAACCCAGAGATGCATTTTAAATAAAAGGACACATTCTGCTCATGTAAAAACACCAGACAGGCCCCACAAATAACCCAGAGATGCATTTTAAATGAAAGAACACATTCTGCTCATGTAAAAACACACTAATTCCCGGACCATCCGTGGGCCGGATTTAGAAGGCAATTGGGCCGGATCCGGCCCCCGGGCCTTAGTTTGCCTACCCATGATCTACCTCAGTATTTTCTATGCTAACCAACAGGGGCTTTCCGGGATTTCAGACAGGGAGACTCTCCCAGCCGTACCAGGAAATGCCGGGGATTGAACCTGGGACCTTGTGCATGCAAGGCAAATGCCCTACCACTGAGCTATGGCCCCTTCATTGAAAGGGAACTTGAGCACAATTAGAACATTGGTAGAGTGGCGTCCTATGCAGAACTGGTATCTATGAACTGTCATGAGCTTTAGTGTTAATTCTTTCCTTGAGGAGCTCATAGGTAAAGGTACCCCTGCCCGTACGGGCCAGTCTTGCCAGACTCTAGGGTTGTGCGCTCATCTCAATCTATAGGCCGGGAGCCAGCGCTGTCCGCAGACACTTCCGGGTCACGTGGCCAGCGTGACAAGCTGCATCTGGCGAGCCAGCGCAGCACACGGAACGCCGTTTACCTTCCCGCTGGTAAGCGGTCCCTATTTATCTACTTGCACCCGGAGGTGCTTTCGAACTGCTAGGTTGGCAGGCGCTGGGACCGAGCGACGGGAGCGCACCCCGCCGCGGGGATTCGAACCGCCGACCATGCGATCGGCAAGTCCTAGGTGCTGAGGTTTTACCCACAGCGCCACCCGCGTCCC